ATGACTAACAAACTGCAGCAGGTGCGCGAGCGTATTGTAATGTCTAACTAAAAAAAATTGTTCGTCAGAGTTTTACGTGGGCCTTCGTGAAAAATCGAAAAACAAATTCATACGAGGTTATGTAATTACTGGTAGAATTTATTACAATTATCGTTGTAGAGTTGTATAACGTTATTGTAAACAATACGAAACGACCGCAACCGGAGTATTGTTACATTGCGTCTCGCGTGTAACGGACGACGTAGCTACTTCTTTTAATACCGCGCTGTGCGTACAAATCGAAAACTTCTCGTAACAATAAGTTATGTATCAGCAAATGTACATTATACGTGTTATCTTGCGATCGATGGAAATCGAGATGAAACCGTATCTGCGCGTAAACTTTAGACAAAACCGTTCACCGTGTTTAAGCCCGTGGAGTGAGTCCACGGAATCGGTTTTCGCTGGCAGTTCGCGCAGCCGTACGTTTAGATTAGCTAAACGGTCCACGTGGGATTGAAAAACATTCGAATATCGAAGGTAATGTTCAGGTTATTAACACGTTCGGGTACCGTAGTAAACGTGTAAACGTGTGCACGCGAATAATATTATTTACCATTAAAATTAAAATCAAAACGGCCCACGCGGTCGTTTTACGTGATTTAATTCCGTAATGTTGATGCTGTACTCAACAAGTGATCAGGCGGTGTAGAAAAACAAAAACAAAATGTTAAATGTAATTTTTAAAACTTGTGTACCGGGACTGTTACACGTTCCGATACTGGGCTTATTTTAACGTGCGTTTGAACACATTTTGTGTAACTTTAAACGAAAAATGCGCAGTTGTAAATACTATCTATAAATAAAGTTTCTCACATAATATATTGTAGTTACAGACTTCGTGGCCGAGTACATGTCCGTCAATCATCAGATAAGGTTTATTAAGACTGTGTTATTATTATTATTATTGTTTTATTATTACAATATTATTGCACGACCACAGCGGGTTTCATAATCATACTCAGGGAGTAATATTTTTGAGGGTATGGGGAGGGGGTTGAGTTTAAAGTTTTGCACACCTCTAAAATACCCTATAAATAAGCCCTGGTCCGATGTACGATTGCGTGCGTGTAACGAACCACTCAGCCGGTCTGACCGTAACGGATGATGAAAATAATAATAAATACGTCTGTTCCTAGTTTCGTCGTCGCTTACCCACCCACCCGTGTACGCCTACAAACTATTTCGTCCGTTTTAACGCTGGTACACCGTCGGTCGCACGAAATCCTCACAGTGCGCGACAAAGCGGTACGTCGACGCAACCAGAACGGGCACGCGTTTTTCACTCGTCTTCAAAGAGTCGATTTATTAACGACTCGGCGCTATTATAATAGGGTACGCGCACGTACTCGAACGCACGCGCGCACTGCACTGGGCGACGACGGATAAAATTATTTGAGTTCGTCTTTTGTCCGTCGACGTGTGAGCGTTTGTGATTAATGTACGGCCGGCCGACGACCGCGCGTTTCCACATTAGGACTACGGTGCACCTGTAACGCTATTACGCTGTTTTATGCACAACCGTTGGAGACGTGTAAAGAAAGTATAAGAATAAAAATCTAAAACAATAATCCATAATAAAATATGTAAGAATCATCGGCCGGTACAGACGGATCGTGCTCGTGCATCCGTTTATCACACGTTTTTTTGTCGGTCCCTACATCGGCGTGCTGTCGTCAGCGTTTTCCGTACAATCCTTTTTCGTTCTTCCTCCCTTCTCCACATTCTGGTCGATCTACGGTGGTTCGATTTTGACCGACATCGTCGGCGCAGGTCATTTTTCTTCTCTTCGTAAACAACACCCGGTGGGGCCCGAACGAGGACGGTTTGGCATCTGATCGCGTGTGATAAACGCTACAGCACGTCGTATTATACGGTTATGAATATTGTTTTGTGTACACAAACAACTGCACCACGAGTCGCTCGCTCACGCGAACCCGTACAAGACGAAATTTAATTTCACGCGTTCGTTATTGGTCAGCTTTTTCCATCTTCTCTCTCTCTCTCTCTCTCTTTCTCTCTCTCTATCTTCTGTAATATCACAAGTGTGCATAATATGATCTTCTAATACTTTATCTACATAATATTTTTTTCCCTTTCGTCAGTCCCGTTAAAATGTCCGTATCATTTTTTTTTTTTTTTTGGTTCTGTTATTATTTTGACATCCGAAACAAATTTTTTCTCGTACATTTACCAACGTATTATAGAGCAAACATGAATACTGTATATTATATGTATATTAGTATATACTATATATATATTATTGTTTTCGGTACATTAATATGAAACAAATGATTTATACACACGTACACGCGAATGTTAACCGTTTCGTCCGTTACGTTCGGTGTGCTATACGCTACGTGTACGTTTTTAGTTGCATGTACGAACCGGGACTTAGGACTAATAATAGGGAGGAGGGAAAAGATGATTTCGAGAGGTCCCTGAGGCGTCTAACAAGTTTAACCCTAGGGCAACTTTCCCGATTACTCGCCCCCTTGTCTATGTATCTCTCTTCGAATACGAACGGCTATCATTTGCACACGCGGGTGGTGCTGTCGTTAATTAAAATAATGATATTGAGCGAACGCGGCGGGCGAGAACCTGAGATTAATAATAATAACGACGAATATCTGAGAAAATAACCCTTTAGGTGGATAGTGGTATATATTTATCACTTTCTCGTGCGCTCGTGTTCGCGTTATTATAATTCTTATAAATTATAATTATTTTATACGTGTTTATGATGATATTAGAAGTCCATCTCTACGGGTTTTTTATATAAACTAGGTATATTGTACATATATAATCAACGGAGACAGAGATAATACGAGAGAGCTAAAGCAAGGGAAAAGGAAATATAAAACGTTATGATACTAAATGAGAATTTCGCGATAAATTTAGATAAGTAGACGGCACGCGGCATATGAATACCATGTTCATACGATACTTGTAGAAAGGAAACGTTTAATATTTAATAAGAGGCAATTTACCTAGCGCACATCATGTGACATGTACATTGCACAACGGACACGAGATGAAACGTAAATTCTTTATAATATTAACTGAAATATTAACCGTTTTGTGTACCGATATTCGACGCGTGGTTCAAAACGAAAATAAAAATAACAGTTGTGTACATAATAATCACAAATCAAATCCAAACAAGCGTGTACGGTTAGAAAACGGTTTCCAAATGTTCACTCAGGACGTTAAATTTTACTCCTAGAACACAGACTACTCGTTTATAATAATACAGCGACGCACGTCTACGATACAATTCATGTTAATATAATGGTACATCTAGTAAAATCATCCTTACGTGTTTATATTATCTTGACGTGTTCTATAAATCCTAGTAATTGCATATTTATTCGGATCGCATGTGTGAAACTTGCCGAATATTTACACTGCACGTTTGGAGATTTTCGTCTGCCAATCTAATCTAATAATCCATAAAATCTTCACGCAGTAAATTTCATCGGAATTTCATAATAATTATTATTGCGGTCCATTTGAGTCTCACGTCTATCTGAGAAAAAAAGCAATAAATATCGTATTAGTTTAAATTTTTTTCATTATTATTTAATACTTCGTATTCTAGTGGTTGGAGACGCAACAACACATATGATTTTTTTGGGACATTTTTTTATTGATTTTTTTATGGGCATATCTACTTTTGGTACTTTATCGACTTAACAATTGTTCAATAGTATTATAGATGCATAGAGGCACTGTAATATATTAAATATTATGTAGGTTATAAAAAAACTATGTACCTACTTGTTGATACTATAATTAAAACGATAACGTTTCCATTTATCAAGATATGAAAATATTTTTATAACCTTATATGTATTTATTAGTTATACTGAACAATGTTTTTTTTTTTTTTTTTTAAATAATAACGAGGCATAAATTAAGTAATTTATATAATTATTGTTACAGTGTTATCATCAAATTAAAAAAAAAAAAAAAACAATCAATGACACTATCGGTACTCATGCAAAACAACCTTTTCCGGTTTGACAATACTTTACAAAATTACTAAATGTTGACTTATTAACACAAAGACATAAAAACGATTGTTAACTTGTATCAGTGAAGACTAATTAGTGCCTCTAAAACGTGCAGAGCGTGTGAATACCTACCATTTATGTCATATCCATTGGCATTCAAATAATTTTCAACGATTTTTTTTGTTCTATGTCTTACTCGCACGCAAATAACATTAAACATAAAAATACACTCAATAACTCAGTTTACTCTATATTAACGACTGCGTTGATCAGTATAAATAATAAATATATGTATAGGAATTACCTTTTAGAGAGAAAAGAATTCTAGAATATTACCTTTTTATTAACTTATATTTTTCTTCAGCAGTCGCTAAATTATTAATAAGTTGGACCTGATTTTGGAATTGAAAGTATCGACTGCCTTGTGCTTATAGTTAGCTAACAGCACTATAGCTGTGGTAATAAAATTTCATACCTAGTTAATTAAAGAAATTACACAGTATTGTAATAATATCTTTACGAGTTTCGCATACGCGTAAACCGTAAGTGTAAAGTTTCCAAGAATAAATAAAAACCACTTGATAACTAAATATTTACTATTTTTACTCTATAATGATGTAGTTATAAAAAAATTAATATTACAATCGATAGTATACGTGTCAAAAATGTACTTTTACAGTTATAAGTAGTACGTAGGTGTGTGTGTGTGTGTGTGTGTGTGTGTGTGTGTGTGTGTGTGTGTG